CGGGGAGGAGAATCGAGCTGAATGACAGAATCGTTCTGTTGAGTCCTATCCTCAATAGCATTGGAAGAATCATTCCGCCAAGGGTTATCTTCAGCAGCAGCAACAGATGGAGTCACGGTGGATAGAGGAAGAACGTCCAAAGTCAGAGCGGTAGAAGGAGTATGAGTGATCTGGGAAGAAGCAATCTCTTGGCACTCATCAAATATGCCCTCAGCAGGGGTGGAGTCTGGATCGGCATAAATACCCGGAGGATCAATCTCCAGCTCCCTGTCAACCTCATCAAGGGTAGAACCAGTCTAACCCTCACTCGGAACACGATCGACATAACCCTCTCGGAACCCCTGAGCATATCTAAGGGCCCCAATTCTGGAAAACCGAGCGTGCAAAGCTAGCATACCACCATTTACCCTACTAATGGTGTCGAGTAAAGCATTGCACTCATCCAAAGCCCTTTTCTCAAAGGCCATCCGAGCGGATTACTCATCGCTCAGAAGGCGTAGCAGTTCTTCCTTTTCAATCTTAAGGGATTCTCGTTCGGTGTGCCAGACGCTATTCTCGAGCTGCAAAGCATTCCTCTCATCCTGAAGAGAGTCCATCTCCTTCCTCAGGGAGTCCCTCTCCTTTTCAACTTTCCCGAGCTGAACCATTAACCCGGTCTTCTAAGCAGCCAAAGCACCGTTCTCCTTGTTAGCTGCACCAAGGCTGTCAGAGAGCGTGCGAACATTGGCATTCACCAGCTCAACCTGCTTTTTCATAGCCATCATCCAGTACAGGGTCTGTAGAGATATACATGACAACTGGTTAAGCCGAGCAAAGTTAGAATAAATCAAGTGTAAAACTGTATAGAGATTCATTGACTAAGAGGCAGAAGTTACCTCCATGGCAGATAGGGGAAACCAGTTGAACACTTCTCTCTGAGACAGACCCTTGGCTACCTCAATATCCTTAGGAGTCCACATGCTCCTGTAGTATGCCATAACAGAGGGGGTCACGTTCGGACTAGCGGTCGTTGTGTTGGAGATCGGGTCAATAGCCGTCACGATCGGATCGGTGGAAGGAGTGGTATCAGAAATGGTGGCGGAGGAAGATACTGAAGCTGGAGAAGAAGTTGCTACAGGGGCAACAACGGGTCTGGGGGCAGTTTTCCTCCTGCCAAAGAAAGGGATCTGGAGTTGGCTCATTGCCTTGCCGAGAGCTGAGAGAGCAAGGAGGTTGTCTAAAGTGAGGAGATCCGAGCAGGAGGGAATGTCGGTCAAAACGTACTGCTTCAGGTAGTTATCCCTATCCCTGCACACACCGTAGCTCAAATCATCACAAGGAATGCCTAAAGAACGGCACAAGAAAGTACAAAAACGAGGAATGCAAATCTTACAAGGACAGTCACTCTTATGGGTTTTGTATTTCTTATAAGAAGAGACAGAGCACTCTCCAAAAGCGCTCGGGATAGGAAAATCCTCTGCAGCTGGAGAAAACCAGGCTCCCCTAACCCCAATTATATTTTTCCTCCAACCCTTCTCGGATTTGATCTTATCTTTGCAAATGAACCTCTTCTCAATGGGGTAAAAGTGGTAAAACGGTTCATCAGTTCTGATTTTGCTAACCTTGTAACAGAGGAGAAGATCTACAAGGTCCAGATCTAGACCTCTGTCACGGATCAGAAGCAACATAACAGATAAAATCCTAAGGAAATTTGGTTTACTTGCAAAGGGGAAAGTTTCAGTTTTTTAAAAGCGTAGCAAAAGAAGGGATGCAAAGGGAACCTAAGGAGGTTAAGATGAAGGTGTGAAAACAGAACCTCGCCGGGAAGAAGGCCAGCACCGGTTCTAATATTCACCTCTTTAGGGCAATTTCTAATTTGTATATCGTCAGAAAGGTGGAGTCTCATGCGAAGAACATCTAGATCTACAGTCATGGCGAGAATGAATGAAGATTTTAAGGAAGAAAAAGAGATTTTTCGAAAGAAAAAGGCAAATAAAACTAACCTCAGAAAGTGACAACGTCAAAGGGTACTGCAAGGTCGCTGGAAAAATGAGCTTTTGTGAGCAATCGCTGGAGAAGATTCGAGCAACAAAAAAGTAAGATGGAGACGGTAAAGAGAATCGATGGAACATCTATGATGCTTATAAAGACAAGGTGGACCTGAGAGCCAAGAGTCAGGAAAGCGAGGAGTTTTTTTGAATCTCGAAGCGCCGACCCCCAAATCTAACCGTCCATTCTCCCATGCGATCTTCTCAAGCCGTCAGGTCATGATCAGCAGCCTCTAATAATTACCCCCTAATTAATAGGGAGTAATTATAGGGGCAGTTGAGGATACACTAAGTGGTATGGGTCGGTTGTAGTTCGCTGGCATTGGATCTGGGCAAACAATTGAAGTATAGCTCATATAAAAGCACTACGGAATGGGCCGATCTTGGATCCACTGAAAAGGACTGAGCCCATTGGAAAGAAGGCCCAAAAGAGATAGACCAGCAGCACTAGTAGTTGCCTATAAAAGGGTTATGAAGAGAATGAAAGGGGGATTGATTTTTGAGTATTGAAAATGTGATAAGATTTTGTAAAAAGAAAAGAAAGAAAAATCTTTGCATCTTAAGAGGGAAAGGGTTTTTTTTATTATTATTATTTTTTTTCCCTGTTGTACCATGAAATCCATTAGTCAGCAACAATAACTTTCAATAAAATTAAAAGAAATTCAAATGAAGTAATATTTATTTATTAAAAAAATAACTAAATGTATATATAAATATATCTATTTATTTATTAAGGTCACCTAAGAAAACTGAAATATTAAATTGGAAATTAAAATCACTTTATGTCTTCTTTATTTTTATTTAAAAAATGCATAGAAATTTATCAATACAAAATTCAGCCGCTTCAACCATCCCTCGACCGCCACTAACGTGAGAATGCAAAAATTATTACGGAAAGTACATACTGATAAAGTTAAAGTGAGTGCAAAATGAAGGAATGAAAAAGAAAGCAAAATGGATAATGCAAGACACAAGTTCTCGGATTCGATTTCCCCCAATAAAGGTACTATAAACATATAATTTACTGTGTACACCATCTGCAAACACCATAGATGATAAAGGTACTTCCACTTCTCCTCAAATTTAAATATCCCATACACAACTGCTAAGCTATTTCCAGCCCGTAACATGCTGCATATAACTTTAAAATACACGGAGTTAAACTCTTGACCTCTTTTTAAGAAGTAGGGGTTTAGTATCGCTGGTTCACTGGCCCATTAACCTCTTACAATCTAGCATTGAATCCTTGAAACCTTATCTCACCTCTGAACGCTTTGATTACCTCAGGAGCTACTCCTTATACTTGGTCACAAACCTGGTATCAAATTTCTTTGTGCTAACATTTAACGCACGAACCACATCTACATCAACTTGCAGAACTGAACATCTTGGAATGATTCTCCTTTCCAAACTAACTAGAAAAAGATTTGGGCGTTTGGCAATCTCTGATACTCTTAACCCTGCCTTGTTCATGAAGAAATCCATAAATTTCCTCATCTTCTTCTCTGAGCAAATCATACATCCCGGTTCCAATTTGAAAGCCGAATTAAATTCCCTTTCAGACCAACCAAAGCTCATATAAGCATCCTTTTCCTTTTCCCAACTGAGTTTGCTATTCGATAAAACGAACGGAGAGCCAAGATGTAGGATGGCCTTTTGGATCAAATCCCATTTCCTTGACTGCATCAGTAGCCTCTTTAAACACATCAACACTCAAAGTTAGTGCTCTAGGCTGTAACATGATTAGTGTTCCAATATGGGATTCAGGAACACCATGAGCAAGCAAGGTGTCGATGTTTGGCACCATAACTTTCTGAACATTGCACGACCCCATATGGATAGTTTGCTTAAGAGCATAAATTAATTTCTCATTGGTCCGTTTAAAGAAATCAAATGTGGGTTTGACTTGGTTTACTAAACTGCTATCTAAAATGTCAGATGAACAGAGACATAGGCAAGTCAGGTCCTTCAATACCCAAAGACTCAAAATACTCAAATTTGGGGCTCAAAGTTCTCTCCGGATCAGCAGAAATGAATTGTGGGCATCTAGAAATTAGGATTGAAATGTGTTTTTCAGTGAACCCAATCGACCTCAACAGCTCAAGAACCAAGTCTGGTTTCTCTGTGCTCTTAATGTTGACCTTCTTAGAAGCTGAGAGCAGTTTTGAGAGACAACCCACATGACTTCGTGAGGTAAGAGATGGTGAGAGCTTGATTCTCTGTGAAATCTGAGTTTTTTGCTATTGATTGGGTTTCCAAAAAACGAACACTTGTGGGTGTATTATGATTAATTCTGTGATGTATGAGTTTATCGTGTATGAAATGACACTTGGGTGACATAGACCTACAGAATCTGAAAGCCATAGTGTTGGAGCGATTTGAATGTTGCCTCTGAGCTGTGCTCGAGCGATTTGAATGTTGCCTCTGAGCTGTGCTCGATCTTCCACAGGACCCTAACCCTAGCGAGAGATATTTAGAAAAGCTGTCCTATCTTGTGAGTAGATTGAGCCTAAATCCTAAACCCTGATCCTATACTAGCAATAAATGATTTGGGCCATTGAAATGGGCTCATATCAATGGTCGAAAGGGCACTGCTAGCCCATCTTAATTAGTTGGACTTAAAATATTCAACTGTAAATGCCCTGAAAATATAGTCAATTATATATAGCATTACACTTGTGATGAATGATATGTGATGTTTCAAAGAATTTACATTTTAATTTTATGACGTAATAAGTTCAAAATAGTCTCTCTCACTTTATTTGTTTTTAACTCTTATACTTCTTTTGGTTATGAAATAAGATGACACTGGTTCAAATATCTAAATTGATCATGGCATATTTAGAAAACCATAAAATAAGGATAAAAATGAAAATATTTGGTTAGCAAGTTGATGTACAAACTCTCATCCTTATGTAGTTTTTGTTGGGAATTATATCGATTCGATTTAGCCCAACCCGATCGACCTAAAACTTCACTATAAATTTATATTTATATATATAATGAATTAAGAAGAGAATATATCACAGTACAGAATGCCTACTCCCTTAATATTACATCTCTCTACTGTTTATTTGATGCTTACATTTCTAGTTGTAGCAATATAATTGATGACACGAATACAAAACATGTACAATAAATGAGCGAGTCAAAAATTGGTGAAGCATTATCCAATACACTCCTCTCTTTTTATAAATGCACTATTTTCTTGTATTTTTTTTTTTTTTTTAACATAAATACCCCCTATATTTGATTCTCTTGAATTAAATCAAGGTCAATAATGTCTTTTTACAGTAAGAGTGTAGTGTTTTTATCATCTTTCTTAATAAAATCATGCGATTAAAATTAATAAATGAAACCAGGCTTGGTTTGACAAAGCTCACACAATACAGTCATTCTTTGAATACAAAGAACCATGCATGCCAGCAGAAGTTCAGACACCATCAAAAGCGAAAATGAGGAAATCAGTGAACTTAATCAGGCTGCGTCTACTAATAGTAGTCTTGGGGCCAAGATTGAGCTGAATCTTCGACGGAGACAAGAGTCAAGAATACAGTTGCCGGTGAACGTGGTGCCACAGTCGTCGGTGTTGGGATTGGAAGGATTGATGAAGACAGGCCTTGAGAATTTGGTGAAGATGTCAAGGTCAAGACTGATGTTTATCCAAGAAGCATAAGGTATGCTATTTCGAAGAGAACCGGGTTGGTTTCGGTTATCTCTACCATCCACCAGCCATGCAATCCAATTATCTCAGTTGCTTCATTTTTTGCATTTCTTCCGTCAAATCGCGCACTCTACACAAGCCCTTCTAGCCTCTGAAGCCATCCTCATTGACTTCACACGACCAGGTGTCGTGCCCCAAAGATCTGATGGGGAGGGACCCAAACCATAAGTGCGAACCAAGCCATGTCTATCTTCACCAACTACTTGGGAAAAGATGTCATCTCTAGCAGCACCGCGTTGTGAAGTTTCTGGTTGTTGAGTAAAAAATACACCAAACGTTAGAATTATAAACCACAATATAAAGGATGCGACAATATAATCTTATATATATTATATTCTGGAAAAAGGAGTGCACTACCATTATCCTTAACACAAAATTTTAGTACTGAAAATATCTATTGAGCAACACTTTTTGGAATTAATTAATTATAAAGTTAAAACTCAATTAGGCAATGGCAGTAAATATACGGGAGCATTACAATATTGTGAACTTGAATAAGTATGTGCACCCAGTGTTCACACAAACAACATCATAGAACATTCCCAAACAATGTCAGGTCACTTGCATCATAATATCCCAAACATGGTCTAATGAGCTTTATATATGAATATTGAGTCAAGTCATGGAATTAAGCAGCCATTAACATGTAATTTAAGGCCTAGATGATTCTGCCAAGCAGCTCAACGGCTAGAACAGAGTCCAGCTATACAATTGAACAAAACAAAATCAGAGGGGAGTATAGCAGCAACTACGAAATAGAGGTGAAAAAGAACATCTGGAGCAAAGCAGCCAAACCAAATTCCAGAAACATCAAAAGCATAAACATCACAGCAGCATCAATTTGATCAATATAACAGCCCATTCAATTGATGCAAGAGCCAGACACGATTTAACAATAGCTTACAATAATTTGTGCAGATGCTTCATACATTGGTCGTCCATTTTTTCATGTGCGCGTTAGTATAAACAAATCTGCCCGGGTTGGTTCCTCTCCATTAGGCCTCTTCTTACGCTGTCCTCAAATAAAAAATAACATTAAAGTTCGGAATAATTATTTGGAAATTAGACAACCAACATATTATCACATAAGCCTAATGAACAATATAGCTTACCTCCTCGTGTATTTGTGCAAAGCTTTTTTATCTTACTGTGTGAGTATTTTTTTGCTTTGGACGACTGGTAGTATTAGTAATGCTACGCTCCTAAAAATAAGAAAAACATATTAAAGCATTACTTAGAGAGAGATTAACTTATCCAATGTATGGATGTACACTGAAAATTTTAGAGTAAGGTTTGTGCCTAGATTTCTCATTTTGAAACAGAAATAAAGATTAAAAGAGGGAAAGGGAATGATAAAAAGTGCTTACTTTGCTATCATTCCATCAGCCATAAAAAGGACATACAATTTGGTGTAAACAAGCCAAGTACACTAAAAAATATTTAAAATTTTAAGGCATTAATTTAAAAAACTTCAGTTCACCTTACATACATGTCCTTTGTCTAAGTTCCAAAATTGAACTAGGTAATACCACTGCTCTGGCAAGACTCGATCATCACGACCTGCCAGTCGCTCCTCATTAGTCACATGTGTCATGTAATGCTTCTTCTTCAAGTTAGACTTAAAGTTCCTCCACTTCTTACCATTCGATTTTAGTACCCATGATTTAGCATAGTCTGGAATTATAAACTTTTCTTTCGTCACTCAAAATACAGGTTTTCTTTCGTCTACTAGTCCACTTAAGTAATCATCAATGAAAATAAATAAATAAATAAAAGAAAAAGACAGAGAGAAGAAAGGTAAATTACCCCCTCTCCAAAGTCATTTTTTAACTAAAACACGGTAGTTTTAGAAATCTGCCAGCAATTTTATGAGCAAATGCAATCCTTCATTATGAAAATTTCATTTTGTGATTATTTAAGCAATTACATTTGTGAGCCAGAAATATACATACTGCTATATCAAAATTTGTAGTTCATAAAAGTGCAAAAAATTGAATCAGCAATTTTATGAGCAAATGCAAGTTCTGGTTCAGTCATCTTACATAAAAGTAAAAATAAGGTGAGATTCTTGTTCACTTCACATATATCATGAAGCCCTAAATTTAACAACAACTACAATAAACAAAAACAAAAAATTAATTGAAAATCAAAATAATTCAATTGGTAAGGTACCAAAGATCAGATTATGAATAGTTTGGAGATACTACTCATTGAAATACCTCGATCTTAAAAAAATTCTCAAATTCGTCAGAATCATGAATAGTCAGAAACTATGAGAACTATATAAAAAAAAACAATCAAATATTAACATTATGGTTTTGTGGCAAAAAATCATGAAAAAAATACAGAACGAGAAATCATATTACAAGAATAATCATGTTGTCAACCACTTTGAATGAATTTATACATCCAGATCGATTAAAAATTGAAACAGGGTTCTAAAACCAGATCCAAACTCTTAGAAACGGTTTCATACAATAATAACATCAATCTCCAATTAAAGCTGAATTCCAATAAAAATGAAGCAAATCTGATAGAATTTACCTGTGAGTGGATGAAAATGAATATAATGATCGTTTGCCATTTTGGACGAAACAGAAGTCGATTTAGTTCCAATAAATTAGAACAGACGAATTAACGAACTCAACAGCTTGGTCTGGTTTCAATTTCTCTCTGAAATGTAAATGAAGCTCTTGATCGAAAATGTTTGTAACAGAGAGCAGCTCAGATAGAGTGAGAGAATCGTCACTCCTACGGTTCAGTTTGATTTTGGGACGGAGACTGAGGAGTAAATTGATGAAACGCGGGAGTGAAAAAGTGAGGAATGAAAAAAAAAAAAAAAAAAAAGTGAGGAACTAAATGAAAATATATATAGAAAAAGAATGTGCATGGCAGTCACGTCCAGCACTTACTAGAAATTACAGTCAGAAATATTTTAAAGCAGCGTTTTTTTTAATAAATGCTGCTAAAATTTTGTCACTACGGGGATATTTAGTTGTAGTGGAGTTAAATCCAGAGAAAAAGGTTTTACATAATACATGAAAGAATATAATGAAATCATGGAAAGTTAAATCTAGAGATAAATTATTTACGTAGTATATGAATGTATAGACAGCTTAGGACACATAGGACTAATTAGCCATAATGAAATCAAACACACATGGAAATGACCACTAGCCTTTCACAGGTACTAAGTACTCTTACAGGTAAAACAAGGGAATTCACCAAATCAGTGTAAATACTATATAGACACACACACCAACCATCTCAATCACCACATGAGTATTATGCAGACCTAGAAAATAACTAATAATTAAAAGATATAGACAGTCAAATGGAACTATGAAGCAAATCTGCCCATTTTCAAAATTTTAAAAATTAGAGCATATTTCATAACATTACAGATGAGAAACATAATTATGAAATTTTCTAGGATGTGACAAAGTCGACAGAGAAAACTGATGTGATCTTCAAAATATACAAGACAATCTTACCTCTTCTCATACTGTATCAGTCACCAAAAAACCTCATTGAAGTGATTAGAGGATTACTTCTTAGATGGCAGACCTTATATGCAGCCAAATCATTTTGATAGAAATTCAAATACACCATATTTCCTCTGTTGTTGCCAGCATATCAAGCAGCTACTCGCTTCTCTGATTCCAAATTGTCCTACAATCTAGCATTGAGTTCTTGAAATCCTATATCACCATTGTATGATTTGATTACCTCGGGAGCTACCTCCTTATACTTAGTCAGAATCCTGGTCTCAAAATTCTTTTTGCTATCATTTAACACCCAAACCACATCTACATCCTTCTGAATCAAAACCCTTTTGACATCAGAATTTGCAGAACTGAACATCTTGGAATGATTTTCCTTTCCAAACTAGATAGAAAAAGATTTGGGCATTTAGCAATCTCTGATGCTCTTAAGGTCGCCTTGTTCTTTAAGAAACCCGTTCACTGATCTTCTTCTCTGAGCAAAGCATACATCCCGGTTGCAATTTGAATGCCGAATTAAATTCGCTTTCAGACCAACCAACGCTCATATAAGCATCTTTTTATTTTCCCAATTGAGTTTGCCATTCAACATCATTCCATGGATAGCCAACATGGTTTTTTTTTTTTTTTTTTGATAATTTGATGTCGAATGGCAAACTCAATTGGGAAAAGAAAAAGGATGCTGATAGCCAACAAGTATGTTAGCCTTTTGGGATCAAATCCCATTTCATTAACTGCATTAGTAATCTCTTTAAACACATCAACACTCAACGCTAGTGCTCTAGGCCGCAACATGATTAGTTTTCCAATATGGGATTCAGGACCACCATGAGCCAGCAAGGTTTCGACATTTGGCACCATAACTTTCTGAACATTGCACAGCCCCAGATGGATAGATTGCTTAAGAGCATAAATTAAATTCTCATTGGTCCTTATGTATTGTTTAAGGAAATCAAATGTTGGTTTGATTCGGTTAACGGTTTTCTAAACTGCTACCCAACTAGTTACATGAACAGAGGTAAGTCAGGTCTGACAAGACCCAAAGATTCAAAATACTCAATTTTGGGTCTCTGTGTTCTCTCTGGATCAGCCAAAATTAAATTTGGGGTTCTAGAAATTATGACTGAAATGTATTTTTCAGTGAACCCAATCAACCTTAGGAGCTCAAGAACCGAGTCTGCTCTCTCTGTGCTCTTAATGTTGATCTTCTCAGAAGCTGAGATAGCAGATTCTAGAGAAGATCAACATTAAGAGCACAGAGAGAGATGGTGAGAGGTTGTTTCTCTGTGAAATATGAGGTTTTTGCTATTGATTGGGTTTCAAAAAAAGGAACAATTGTGGGCGTATTATGATTGATTCTCTGATGTATGAGAGTGTCGTATATGAAATGAAAGACGGGTGAAATAGACTTACAGGATCTGAAAGCCATAGTGTTGAAAGATTTGAATGTTGCCTCTGTGTTGTGCTGTGCTCGATCCTCCACAAGTTTCAGGGAAAAAACCCTCACCCTAGCCCTAGGGAGAGTGATTCATAAAAGCTGTCCGATGAAGTGAGTGAGCTCAGATTGAGCCTAAACCCTAAACCCCTTTTAAGGAGTCAACCAATAGTCAACATATCAGCAACAAAAGCTTTGGGCCTTTGAACTGGGCTCATATCATTGGTGTAAAGGTCACTGCTTACATTAAGGCCCATGTTTATATAAATCATATCCACATTCCACACTGCAATAATCAATTTTAATTAGTTGGACTTAGGATATATATTAACAAGGAAAATTTTAAAATTGATAGTTGTGGACTCCTCCTCCATTTGTTATGGTGGGACCACAATTATGTGAGACAGTAAAGTTAATTGTGACATTATATTTGTGTCAAATTAAGTAAGTAATGGATCCACTTTTTTAAGGGTTTTACTTATTTATTTTATTGGTAAATTAACGTAATGTTACATTGTTTTACCGTTGCACCTACTTTCTTATCTTTTCACTCACTCTTCTATTCTCTTTACTTTCATACTTTTCCCGCTCAACTCTACGTCTATTTATAAAGTTCAAAACTCAATTGCTTATTTGAATTACAATGCTTTTGAAACTCAAAAGCTGTGGAACAAAAAAATTACCTAATGAAATACAAGTATAAAATAAAAATCTTTAATTAAACTACAATTTGAAACACAATACATAACAATTTTTTTTATTATTACTTATTCTTAATTGGGTGTTCATCACTTCACTATATCATTTTGTATTTTTATTGTTGTGTCATAATATTTCAATCATGTCTAAAAAAAAATTATCATTTTAAGAATAAAAAAATAATAATAATTAATGACACGACAGGAATACAAAACATGTTGGGCCATTGGAAAAATAAATGAGCTAGCACTATACAGTATATTTGATGCTTACACTTCTAGTTGCAGCAATATAATTAATGCCACGGCAGCGATACAAAACATGTACAATAAATGGGTGGGTCAGTAAATATTGGTACGACGTTATCCAAAAATCTTAGCCCTCGATAATATGAATTCATATTTTCATTTCTGAGTTCTCTCAAAAATCTCATTCTACCCTCATTAATACGTAGAATTAATCGAAGATTTTTTTTTTTTTTTTTAAGCCAAGAAAGAATCATTCTTTATTAATTTTATACCTAAAAGAAAAAATGTTACTTGGAAGGAAGGCGATGCACTTTTATGAATATGTTGCACTTTTTATTTTGAATGGTAATGAAGTATCAATAGATTATAACTTTCGATTTTATGCTAAACGCCCCTTATACTTGTACTTGAATCCTTTTTGTATTTTTTTTTTACATAAACACCCCCTATATAATTGATTATCATGAATTAAAACAAAGATAATAGTGTCATTTCACAGTTAAAAAAAAAAAAAAAAAAAAATGTTTTATCATCTTTCTTAATAAAATAATACTAGAATAAATAAATAAAATTGCGCTTTGCTTTGGCGGGGCTTACATGTTAAACATTGTAACGGGCGGGCAAACTTACCTAACAGTTCAAGCTCTGGATAGTGTTGTCGAACTCGCAACGCTTTCATTACGGTCGGACCATTTTGCTTACCCGATGTGACTCACCCGGACGTCTTTCGAGTCGGGCGTTTGGCATGACATCCAATCAAGGACTAAGTCTGACTCTAGCATTAACACTTATATATTCACCCATTTATACTCAATTACTTTTTCATTCAAATCGTAAATAAATGACCGTCGTAACAATCAGTCATTTCATGGAATAAGAATAACTCCGCTGCAATACAACAGAATATCCTCCCTTAGATCTACTACTCCCAAAAGGGTCTCTGTCTCCAACGTTTCAACTTACTTCATTTAATACCCATTAATGCAAATACCTTTCTCTTTTATATCACAGCAACTAATGTGTACATTTATCTTTATATCATATTCAATTAAGCCAACTCCTCCCTTTTTAAGCAACTTAATTAGATGGTTTTTCAAGTCCTTTCTCTCTCTCTCTCTTTGATCGTCACCTTCTTGCCTTTATTCTCAGATTAATTGTGCAGTCACAAGCCTATATTAGTACAAAAAAAGTGCAAGCTAGTACTAACCAGTACTGCAACATGCAGACCAAAAACTCTACCATAAAAACCAAACTCAGCCGGTTTTTGAAGGCACCCATTAGAGTCTTGATCAAGATGAGGGACTTCTACATCCAAAACATGTCGGAGTGCGCCGGAGGGTTCGGACACGGCAGTGCCATGGGGTGCCCTACTGCCCAAGTCTCCATTTTGCCTAAGAGTTTCAGCGTCAACTCTTCATTATCAAGCAACAATGAGGAAATCAGTGACCTTATTAAGGCTGCGTCTACTAAGAGTAGTCTTGGGGGCAAGATTGAATTGGATCTTCGACGGAGACAGTTGCCAGTGACCGGAGTGAATGTGGTGACGCGGTGTCAGAGTGTTGGGATTGGAAGGATTGATGAAGACAGGCCTTGTGAATTTGGTGAAGATGTCAAGGTCAAGACTGTTGTTTATCCAAGAAGCAAAAGCTATGCTGTTTCGAAGAGAACCGGAGTGTTTTGAGTTTAGGAGTACTGAATCGATACTTTGAAATTGAATTAGGAAGAAAATTAGTATGATGATGGGCAACACTCTTATCTCCTTCTACAGTTGCTGTTGTTAGAGCTGGGAAGTGACATGTGCTGTATTGTAGCCTGTAGGGTTGTTAATGTTGATGTGTCTCTAAACAATATTTGATTAACAGATTGTATTACTCTCAAATGTCACTAGAGGTGCATTGTATAATTGTTTAAATATATATTATATCTATTGTCATGTAGCCCTTTGGTGAATTAGGAGTAATGTTAATTAGTGACTAAGGGAGATGGTATTCAATCAGCTTATCGGTTTAATTTTAAATTAGAAGAAGTAATATTTAACACAATGCTATTCAGACTTGATACTATAACCGTGAATTTTAATTGATAGATTTTTATCTTTCCGATGAATTGAACAAGTTGAAAAGAAAAAATGAATTGAATAATTTCAAATTTTAGTTTTATACAATCCTTCCAAAAGAAAAGAAATCTCTCAAATAATAATCTGATTCTTGGCAATGGCTGTCCATAACTCTATTTTCTTAGAGCATCTGGGCGATAGACAAAGTAGATTTTTTTTTCTTTGTTTTTTTTCACACACAAAGTAGATAATATTTGCAAAATGTAGAGAAAGAGGGGGCGGTGTGCAGCTTACAATCAATACGTTTTTTGTGGTCCCCACATGAGATTGTTTATTACTTTCTCTTCAAATAGAGTATTGTATGGAGTACTGCATCTCAACATCTTTAGCTATAGCCGTGGATGGCCCACCTTTGAAATTTAATTTTTGAATTAAATTAATTTAAAAATAAATAGATAATAAGATATTGATTTGCATATAGTAGAATAATTTTCATTAAAAAAAATATATAGAGTGCCATGTAAGCATTTTTGATTAAATAATACTTATGTGGTATTCTATTTTTTAAAAAATAGATAGACAAGGTGTATGATGCATCAGGATGTTGTTAGTGGTTATGGTGGCGGCACCAGTCCACTATTTGTCAACTCAACAAATGTGTCAAAAACATTTTGGGCCAATCAGATTTTCAGATTAAAACACAAAAACAAAACCAAAGAAGGGTATATCCGTCCATTTGCTCTGGTGAAAGTATCAAAATCAATCTTTTTACTTGGTAGTTGGTACTGACTAGCAACCTAATTTCTCATTATTATTATTATTGTCTCTATCTAATACGGACTACGGAGTACCATATGCTCGTACGTCCTGTTAAAACAAAAAATTAAAACTAAAGCTGAAATTTTTCTGGCCTCCCCTCCCTTTGTTTGGAATCAAATACTTCTGAAATTTAAAATTAGATTAGAATTGAAAAGGAATTAAATTGTACAGTAATTAATATGAAATTTTATTTTACGTTTGGAATAAAATGGGATTTGTAAAAGAGAATTTGAAAAGTGTTAATGATGGATTCTGCGCAACCTGGATCTGATCTGACTTCCTGAATAAAGAGAAGAAAAAGTGATCCTACGAACACCGGTGTGTTACCGGTGGAGTAGGCTCCGACGAACAAGTCAGTGTGAATGATAATCTCCCTGAAAAAATCGAGATATTGAGTTAGAATTTATTGCGTACCTCAAAACGTTGATTCCCCCGCCTTTTTTATTGGGCTTAGGTTAAGATGTCACGTAGAATTACCTTATTGTAATCTGTAGACTTAATCCTCATTGTAATCTTTAATCCTTATCACAATCTTTAATCCTTATCGTAATCTGCAGAGCCTATCTCAATAGTGCATTAATTTAGTAATCTTCCCTTAATTATGGATATTTAAATTATACATCCATCAGTTGCCCCCCGTTTCGAAGGATTGCTTGTCAAACCACCGGAACGTTAATTCCAAAATATCACACAATGATATATAGTTAGAATTGCAGAGCCTTGTCCATTAGCCTGACTTATATTGTCATTTCGCGAATACAGTCGGGAGTCATAATATCACATTGGCAGCTCGTATATGTGGCAAGTTCGTATATTTGTCGTATATTGGCAAGCTTGTATATTTGTCGTAGTGCCACATTGGCAGCTCGTATATGTGGCAAGCTGCCATGCTGGTAGTCTACCGTTATGTGGCAAGCTGCCATGCCATGCTGCCGTGGCAAGCTGTCCTGCTGGCATGCTGCCGTTATTTGGCAGGTTGCCCTGCTAGCATACTGCCTTTATTTGGCAAGCTGTTATGCTAGCATGCTGCCATTATTTGGCAAGCTGCCCTGCCAGCATGCTACCGTTATTTGGCATGCTACCCTGCTAACATGCTGCCTTTATTTGGCAAGCTGTCATGCTGGCATGCTGTCGTTATTTGACAAGCTGCCCTGCTGGCATGCTGCCTTTATTTAGCAGGCATGCTGTTTTTATTTGGTAAGCTGCCCTGCTGGCATACTGCCTTTATTTGGCAAGCTGTTATGCTAGCATGCTGCCGTTATTTGGCAAGCTGCCCTGCCAGCATGCTGCCGTTATTTGGCAAGCTGCCCTGCTGACATGCTGCCTTTATTTGGCAAGCTGTCATGCTGGCATGCTGCCTTTATTTGGTAAGCTGTCGTGCTGGCATACTGCCTTTATTTGGCAAGCTGCCCTGCTGGCATGCTGCCTTTATTTGGTAAGCTGCCCTGCTGGCATGCTCCCATTATTTGGTAAGCTGCCCTGCTGGCGTGCTGCCTTTATTTGGCAAGCTGCGCTGCTGGCATGCTGCCTTTATTTGGCAAGCTGCCCTGCTGGCATACTGTTTTTATTTGGTAAGCTGTCCTACTGGCATGCTGCCGTTATTTGGCAAGCTGCTCTGCTGGCATGCTGCCTTTATTTGGTAAGCTGCCCTGCTGGCATGCTTCCATTATTTGGCAAGCTGCCCTGCTGGCATGCTACCGTTATTTTATACTTGATTTTATTGACATCTTTAGTCGGCTCGTCCCTTTAATAAAGAAAGTAAATTAAGACGAGTTTCACGTAACTCGTAATAAGGTAAGTAGATGAATACGAGCTTCACTCAGCTCACCCTTTAACAGGAGAAGTAGATTATTATGAGCTTCACCCAGCTCACCTTTTAACGAGGGAAGTAGATTACTATAAGCTTCACTTATCTTACACTTTAACAAGGGAAGTAGATTAATACGAGCTTCACCCAGGTCACCCTTTAACAGGGGAAGTAGATTAATACGAGCTTCACCCAGGTCACCCTTTAACAGGGGAAGTAGATTACTATGAGCTTCACTCAGCTCACCCTTTAACAAGGAAAGTAGTTAACCCCTCATCTTTTTACGAGGGAAGTAGATTACTATGAGCTTCACTCAGCTCACCCTTTAACAAGGGAAGTAGTTAACCCCTCATCTTTTTACGAGGGAAGTAGATTACTATGAGTTTCACTTATCTCACCCTTTAACAAGGGAAGTAGATTAATACGAGCTTCACCCAGGTCACCCTTTAACAGGGGAAGTAGATTAATATGAGCTTCACCCAGGTCACCCTTTAACAGGGAAAGTAGATTAATATGAGCTTCACTCGGCTCACCCTTTAACAAGGGAAGTAGTTAACCCCTCATCTTTTTATCGAAGGAAGAAGATGAAGCTGACCCTTCATTCTTTTAAGGGGGAAAGAGGTATGGTCTTGACATGGGAGTCATCTCCTCTGACGGTTGTCTCGGGATGTTGGCAAATCGTTGACACTTGTCGCACTTTTGAACGAAGTCAAGTGCATATTTCTGCATGGTGGGCCAATAGTATCCTAGTCGGATGGCCTTGTTAGCAAGTGACCTACCCCCAGCATGGTTTCCAAAAACTCCTAGGTGGATCTCCCTTAAAATGTAGTCAGCTTCCTCGCTAGAAACGCATCGTAAATACGGCATGGAGAAGCTTCTCTTGTTGAGCACCCCTTTGATAAGCATATACCTAGCTGCCCGCATCTTGACCTTTCGAGCTTCTACTCGGTCTGTTGGTAGCACCCCATCCTTGATATATCTGATTATAGGATCTGCCTATTCCACACTCAATATCGCTTGTTGCACTTCAATTTGTCTCTCCTGAGATATAGATGGTTCGTCCAAATATTCCAGTGGTATATTCTTATTGATATCAGGTTCAATGCAGTAGCTAGCTGGGCTAAAGCATCTGCTTTCCCATTCTCTTCTCGTGGTATTTGATGAATTGAGAATCTTTAAAAGTGATTCTTTAATTCCTTCACCTTTTGTAGGTAACTCTTCATCTTCTCGTCTCGTGCCTCATATTCCGCTTGAACTTGTCCAGCGACCAGCTCGGAGTCGGTGTAATTGCTCAACCCCTAGGGCATTTGCCACTTTTAATCCTGCTATCAAGGCTTCGTACTCTGCTTTGTTGTTGGTTGCGTTGAAACCAAACCGAAGTGCGTACTGTATACTTTCTCCCTCTGGGGAGACAAGAACAAGCCCGGCTCCGCTAACCTGAACATTAGATGACCCATCCACGAACAAGTCCCAGACTACTTCTGGGCCCATCTGCTCACTTAAACTTGGTTCTGTCGAAAATTGGGGTTGTTTCTCCTCTTCTGGAGGGGTAAACTCAGCTAAGAAATCAGCCAACACCTGAGCCTTTACTGCTGTTCTTGGCTTATACTGAATGTCGAACTCTTCTAACTCTACTGACCACTTCATCAGTCGACCAGAGCTTTCTGGCTTGTGTAGGACCTATCGAAGAGGTTGATCTGTTAGGACCACTATCGTATACGCTTGAAAGTATGGTCTCAGTTTCCTGGCGGACACAATTAAAGCAAAGGCCAACTGTTCCATCCTTGGATATCTTTCCTCCGCACCCCTAAGTGCTCTGCTCACGAAGTATACTGGCCTTTGGACCCCTTCTTCTTCTCGTATCAGAGCTGAACTGACAGCTGTCGTGGAGACTGCAAGGTATATGTATAGTTCCTCTCTTGGTATGGTTCGAGACAGTAGTGGGGGAGAACTAAGGTATTGCTTTAGTTTTTTGAACGCCTGCTCACACTCCGGGGTC